CTAGGTCATCAGTAAACAGAAGTATTAGATAGAGTTTAATAAAAAAAAAAAAAAAAACAACAAAAGCCACAAAACCGTAACCAACCAACGAACCAAAAAAAACGTACTTGAGGGACTGTATCTGGCTAGATCTGGTGTATATGCTAGTTGTATTGCAGTATCTTAAAACTTTACCCTTTCTTGGGAAATGTGCAAAGCCAGCATTGCTAAAAATTTGAGACTGTCAGAAGAGCGGAATAGAATCTAGATCCCGTGAAACAAATATTTGCCAGCTCAGTTAGATTAGATAAGGACTGAGATCTGGATAAACTCAGCAGGACTCCTACAGCCAAGCTAGAAGCCATGCGCAATGATAACTGTATTGTGAATTCAGAATTTCTTCTTTAAACAGCAAGGGCCAAAATACTAGCCCCAAATACTTTGTTTTGATGTATATTCTACCTGAACTCTTTAAGATAAAGTGAAAAGATGTTTTTAACTTTGAATAGGACAGTGTAGACTTCAGTATGCTTAATTCCGTAACGTGTCAACCTTCATAAAACTAGCAACTTACTAACCAAAGAAAAGATTACTGCTAACAGAAGCAAAAAGCTTGCTTCATCCACTCGCCATCCACATGAAGTTCTACCTACAGTCTCCTTTACTATTTAAGTATTTTGATGGATTTCAGAAGTCTTCTGTGCTAACAAATACATACTTTTATATTTTCTTTCTCACTCTCTCCTTCCTTCTGCATCTCTCTCTCTCTACACACATGCTGTTATATTACCTATGAAGTGTCTACCAAAAAGAAACCAGTAACTAGGAATACTTCTGCAAGTATGTTTAGGGAAGCTTTGCTTTAACTCCCACTTAGATTTCTTGATAGCAAGAACCTAGAGTAGTAGCTTCCAAATTATCTTTTTAATCTTCCACAGAAGGTATGGCTTTACATAGCAAATTCAAGCCTGCTGACAAAAAACTGGCTTTATTTAACCATCTTTTGTGGTCCACAGACTATTAAATAAAAATGAATTAATGAAATAATGTAATTTATGTAAATTTAAGATCAGCTTCCCAGTGTGTAAAGAATAGTAAGGGTCTTTGGTGCAAGAAGTCACTTTCTGGTTACTGGAAAAAACGGAGCACAATGCACCCTTCCAGATAAGCTATACTGAGCACAGCACCTTCCACCTACAGAGAAGGGAGGTCTGCTTCAGTGATCCATGTCTTGTTCTACAGGAAACATAGGAAGGGCAGAGATGGGAGAAGATTTCTGTTCAACTGGCACCAGTGTTTCACTTCGGCATTCACTGCTCTACCTGGAGCTCACGTTGCAGTTCAGGTATAACTGCCCTTCCTTGCTCATTAAGCTTTCTTATTACTAGCTAACCGGCGCGTATTTTACTCCTATTCAAGTTTGCAACAAAATGTGTTCAAGAACACTACACAAAAATGCTTTGCCTAACTTTTAATAGGAGTCAGCTTTTCTCAGGGCTCTGCTAAAAAGTTTGTGTGCTCACACTTACTTGCTATCCAGATGAATGGTACCTGTCATATTTTAACCTAGAGCTACTGAAAATACTCCAGGACAACGATTTCAAGTAAATAAAAGACTGGATAGTACACTCCACTGTAATTATTACACAGAAATTGGAACATCAGGCAGCAAGATTAGATGATAGCATTTATGTCAGTCTACAGCTTTCATCGCGTTTGGCATTAGCACAGATTTATAGCTTCAGAGGTTGCTAACATAGCCAAGGAAAATTCAAACAGTGCGACAAGTTATTCAACTGTGAAAGTACAACAGATGCATTTTTCCTCTTGTGGTGAAACAGAAGTTCAGGCATAGCACCTGCATCACGGGAAGTTTTTCCGGTCATCCATCAGCCAGGTGAATAGACTCAATGGTAGAAAGGACCACAGGAGCATGACAAATTGGCCATTTCTTTCCCATATGCTTCAGAAATGCATCCTCTTCATAGGCAGTCACAGGGAGTAGAGAACAGCTACCATGCCTTACCACAGTGCTGGTCAGTGCATAATGTCTAAGGCTTCTGATCCAGGCCCTTCTCCAGTCCTCCTACTGCTGAGGAGGAGGATTCCTTTCACTTCCAACCTACAGACCTTCCACAATTTCTTCAAATCATGGCAAGAATTTCTTTAAAACAATATAAAAAAGTATTGATGAGGCTGTGTATTTTTGTAAATCCAGCCCTGATCTGCGGCATCTCTTAACTTTCCCAAGTAATGGTGGTGGCTCCCCTCGATCAGGCTATATTTAATTGTGATCAGGACTATCACCCCATAGCAACAGCCACGGCAGTTTACACAGGCATTAAAGCAGGAAAAATGGCCTTACTATATTTGTAAAGTCTCGAATTTGTAAAGTGACATACTTTTCAAAGATTTGTTGCAGTTATCACCAACTGCATCACCAATGCTGCTACTTGGATTCGTTGCTGTATTCACCCTCATCTCTTGCTCCTTCTCTCCCTATTTTTGGAAAGTCTATCTTTTTGGCAGTTTCTTCCCAGCAGCAATTCTCAATTGCTTTCTCAACTCGTTTGGCTTCTCTCATTCTGAATGGAAGGGATTACTAAAGCCTTGTAATGATACTTTGCTATCAATAGTAACTATTTTGTTACTGATTTCTATTTCCATTCTGTAGAGTTCACATTTCCAGACCATTTGAAGGCTAAATGCAGTTTCACTTCCTCAGTTACAGTTAAGTATCTGCCTGCAGTCACAGTTGGCTTAGTGAATTCCTGTCCTAGTGAAAGTCATTTAGGCTTCTAGAGAACTTGAGAGGTAAAAAACAAACAAACAAACAACAAAACAAACAAGCAACCTAAACTTCCCCCTCCCCCTCAAAAAAGCAAAGGAAAATCCTCAAAAACCTAAACAACAGAGGCAAGTCACACTCAGGTATACCTTAAGCAAACTCTTTAGTGACAGTTATTTTAATAATGGAAATAGACTAGACAGAAAAGGGTTCAATTCTTTAAAACAGAAAGCTTTCGCCTTCCACTTAGAGCTTCCTGATAGCAAATGGCAAACATGTAAATAGACTTTCCAAGATCTGTCTGTTAATCAGACTATGAGGTTGATGACCGATACAAATTTAGGAGAGTAAGTTTTAAAGTTTTTGAAACTTTAAGAGGTTTGAAGTGTGCTCAGCAGCACATTGAAGATGCAGAACAAAAATCACACTTCACAGTCAACTCTCAAGCTCTAAGTACTTCCTGACACTTACTTTTAATGAAGCCACTGGAAAATTTTTATGATGTTTAACTGTTTTAGTCTTATGAACTGCTACAGCTTTTAAATAACTTTGATACACCCGTATCTAGGAGCAGTCATAGTTCCATACAAAGTATTTTTCCTACATTATCTTTAGCTAGGTGGCTTTACTTCAGTAATTTAATAGAGTAAAACAAACAAACAAAAAAAACCCACTCCCTAAATGCAAAGTCATTGGGGTTGTCCCTGACAAGTCAATGCTAGTTGGAGGTCTGATTTATGATTCTCAAAAAGTTCAGAAAACTAACCTCATTCACATTATTTTATTTTGCTCATGCTCCTCTGCTCAACTGACAAGGCTTGTTTTGTTTGTTTGTTTTTTTAAATAAGCAACCAGGAATATTTGCCACTTACTGGAAGGAATCCCAAATTTGTTTGCTAACAAGACAAGTACCATCTTTATTGGAAGCAGAAGTCTTCAAAAAAATATTATGTATTAGAACTTTCAAATTATTCACAAGATTCAAAGTTTGTCAGCTTTCTAGGATATTCCTAGTTATAACGGCAAGCTTGACATTAAGAACATGCAAAGGTTCTTAAAGTTTCTTTGGTTTTACTGCTCTCCAATTTCCTAGTGATTTGCACCTCATGTCACCTAAACACTGCTCTCTTCTCCTTTTTCCCACCTTATCATTCACTATGCTACATGATCAGGTGGCCATCATGTTTTTAATTGCATTTCTTCACTTGGGGCAATAATTTAGATCCTCTCCTCTACCCAAAGTGCAGTTTTCATAAAGCCTCAGAACTCAGTTGTCTTTATGACCTCTGACTGAGTGGAAT